CCTGCCACGAAGCGGACCCCGGCGGCCTGCAGCGCCCAGGGCTGGAAGCGCTCCTCCGCGGCGAGCCGGACGCTGTCCGGGTGGTCGAACACCGTCACCCGCAGGTGCGGGTGCTCCCGGGCCAGTGCGAGGGCCAGCGCCCCGGTGCCGCCTGCAAACCCACGAGGACGCACGTGGCTCCGCGCTCCCCCAGCGCCTGCACCGCCGTCCTGGGGGGCCGAGAGGACGGGGGCTGCCGGCCTCCCTCTCCCCACGGGGGTGCAGCAGGGGCGGACATGCGGGGGCCCCAGGAGGATGCTGGGGGGGGAGGCTAAAGACAGGGGTCCCCCACCACGCCCGTGATGATCTCGGGGTCCCCTGCATGCTACCCCGCCCTTGGCTGGGGGTCACCCGCACTCACCGCCCAGGTGGCAGGCGGCGCGGAACCCCGACAGGTCGAAGGCAGTGGCCACTGCATGCGCGCTCAGCCCAGCCAGCTCGTGCCTGGCGGCCAGCACCTGCAGCCGCCCCCCGTCGCCCCCGCTGTCCAGATCCGGGCCCTGCCAAGCAAGGGGTGCTGAGGGATGCCAGGCCTGCACCCCAGCCGCCTTCTCTCCCACGGCTGCAGGGCGCGGACCATCCCCACCCCCGGACCATGCTGTAACAGGGCGCCTGAGGATGGAATTCATTGGCCAAGGACCCAAGGTCACCCTCTTTCTGCTGCCAGTCCGACTGGCACCTGCCCCAGGGGGTGCAGAAGAAACGAGCTGGCTGTCTCCGCGCCCCCCAGCCCCACCGCACCCCGTGAAGATGACCCGGTAGGCCTTGGGCACGCAGGGGCGGGAGGAGGGGAGGGCAAGGCCAGGGAGTTCTACCCTGCGCTGCAGGGTCAGCCGCTGCCAGTTGAGGTCCACCCGGTGCCAGGCATGCACGGGGGTGGGGGTGGGGGGTGGGGAGGGGGCCTCTGTCTGGGTGGCCCGCACCCCGCTGAGCCACGCAGGCCACCCCAGCCTGGCTACCTTCCACACGTCCTCGGGCCTTCTCCCTGTTACGGTGTGCAGCAGCACCCCGCCCTGGCGGACGGCGGCCTCCAGGTCCGAGAAGTCCCTGCTGTGGCTGTCACAGAGGCTGACCAGGCCCCGCAGGGCGTGCCGGCCCCCGGACACCAGGTGCCGGTTGGCAGGCTCCGTGTTGCAGTAACCTGGGGGAGGGGGCGGGGGCCAGATGCTAGCTCAGCTCGCCTAATCCACAGCTGGGACAGACACCCCCCATCACGGCCACCCTGCAGGACAGGGCGGAGCTGCCCCTGCGGGTCTCCCAGGCTGTCGGTCCTTATGGGAGCAGACGGTCTGGTCTTTCTCCCTAGATGCTAATGGAGAGGTAGATATGTAGATAGATAGATAGATAGATAGATAGATAGATAGATAGATAGATAGATAGATAGATAGATAG